TTCGATTTCATAAATTTTCCCTGAAATTCGCCTTTCGGAAATAAAAAACATTTCTTTCGAAAGGTACTTTACATGCAAGGTGCCACTGCTCATGCAACTGATTTCTGAAATTTCTCAATTGGACAGTCTACTGCATTGCCCGGTGTGACACGCTCTTAAGACGGCAATGTAACCCTGCTATACCCACGCTTAAAATAAAAAATGACGCTTTTAGAAATAATGCCATGAATCAACAAAACAGATCAACCAGCACGGCAACCGCGTAATTGTAATCGCATTTGAGAAAAAATAATAATAGATGATAATGTCATTTTTTAATCGGTTGTTTCATTCATACACATGGTTTCATTCCGTTTCATTCACATGGCGGCGAAAAAATGACGTCGGTGCGAAAAAGAATACTTGTTTCTCGCACACCGTCCTTTCGTTCGTTCATGAAATAATGCTGCCAAATTTTGTTCTCTTTGAACCAATACTGCAAAAGTCAAAAGCGCTAGGAAAGAGAATACGCTATCAATAAAACGATAGTGGCGATAGTACTAAAACTATCGATAGTTATTTCAAGTGACCAGACTATCGATAGTATCGTCGACAGTTTGTGACAGCTCTACCTCCCACGTAAACGCCTCACGCACCCCAATGCATTTGTATGAATATATGAATGGAGATACGTATGTATGTATGTGTCTTAGCACCTACACCCATTAAGCGGAATTTTTCCGCTCCTGCCAGCCAAACTTCCGCTACAGAGCAGCCATCGTTTTTGCCTAATTTTTTTATAACTTTCAAGTGCAATATAGCTTGATAAGTCTTCCTAAAGCAGCAGTGACCTGGCTAAAAAGTTGCTTTCTCTGCTCTTTTGCGAATTCCAAACTATGTACAAACATACTACTTACCTTTTTACAACGCTTTTTACCTCAAGCATTTATAATGCCCACAACTGCAAAAGTGTACAAATAAAATAAAATAAAGTAGAAAGGCATTCAAGCAGCGCAGTCATTGCCGCCCAAGGTTTGAGTGTGGCACCTGTATTTTTAGGCGCATTTATTGCCCCCTTCCCAAACAAACAATTGTTAATAATTTTACAATCTGCGATTTTTTTTTGTGCGGCTAAAACTAGTAGTAGATAACATCGCACGTTCGGCAGTTGGTTAACAGAGCTTTCGTAATTTATAGAAATTTTGTGTTTGCTGCCACGGCTGCCAGCGGTCATACTTGGTATGTATGTATGTGTGAGCAAATCTTATTAACCTTTTGCACGAGAGCATTGAATTACACAAAGCGCTGCAACAACTACATATGTATGTATGTATATATCAGTAGTAACAATAAAAATTAAATTACAATACAGTTACAAAGCATTGAGGGGAGGGCAAACTTAATCCTCTCAACCCACAGCCGCTTTGGCCTCCTCAGCATATTTGCATGATTTGCTGCACATGCATGTGTATGTACACGCGCTACACAAACATTTGCAGGCAATTTTTTACCTTTTGCCTGCAGTTAGTTCATCGAGTTCAACGCTTATAGTCGCGCTGTTGTCAAGGGTTGTGCGCCTATAAGGCTGCTTGCATTTCACTTTACTTCACTGCAATTCAAATTTCGTTTATTTATTTTCATTTCATCATTTGTATTTGTATTTCGCTTATACAACTAGTTGATTTATATCATGTCAGCTGCAAGCAATAACAATAACAACAACAGCAACCAGCGCTAAAAAGCTACTAGTTGGAAATGCATGCGGCATGGAAATTGTGCGCAGTAGACGGCGAAGCGGCGAAGTTAGCGCTGCTGAAAAAAAATTCAATTTTTTGCCACTTTAAGCAGACTTAATTGAGAAAGCTACTACCGGCGACTACATATGTATGTACTATATTTGCATGTACATAGTACATAGCTAGTTACTAGGGTGATTGACTAGGTTTTTCGATACCGGTTGCCACCGTTTTTTTTATATCTATACGCTTTTTTTAAATCTTCATTTTTCAAATATCAAATAAATCCGATTTTTTATCGAACAAACCGGTTTTTTTCATTTCATACAAATTTTTACCCCTCTTTTGAGTTTTTCGAAGTTTTCAAGGCTTTTTCAGTTTAAGGGAAGCACCAAAATCGTTTATATACATATATTTGGGGATGAGCAGTATATAATATTTGATTTCAATAAATGAACGTTTTCCACGTGTTTGACCGAGCTTCCCCTCCAATTCTTATCCGAGTGGCGGTAGGCACATCTAAAGCTCTCGGCTACGGCGGCAAGAGCCATCGGCGTAGCCAGAATGAAATTTAGGAAGGGCTCGACCCTATTAAGCTGGCATTTCAGGGTACTATTTTATATATATACAAGGAAAATTTGAGAGTTAGGGGGGGCTCGAGCACCCCCCTGCCCCTACCTGGCTACGCCCATGGCAAGAGCACTGCTCAAATCCGAAAAAATTCAGAAAAATTGTTAAAATAAGATCACTGATCTTAAGTTGTTTTAATTTTGGTTAAAAAAAAAAATCTTTGAATTTATGTATTTTGCTTTGCTCTTCTCTCAATAAAAGCTATCTTTACTGTTAAAAGTTTTGTTGTAATTTTTGGTTATGAATTCATACCAACATAATTGATTTTTGGAAAATGCCGAATAATCGAGCAACCCTAATAAAATTGCCTTTGAAAGTGTGGCATGCAACCACTTCGAGTTGAGCGCATATATTGGCCTGCTTTCTGCACTCACTCTACTTGCGCAAAGGGTTGTTGTGCCTGCCATCCCCCTCCCTACCATCTGCTCTATAGAGCCGCGCAAGCCTGTCGCATTAAATGTTTCAACAATTTAAACATTGACTGCTCTTCACTTGCTTGGAAAAACCGGGTTGTGCCTTGTAATATTCAACGAATTTGCATATTTTTATACGTGTATATATGTATGTATGTAGGTGCATGCATGCATGCCGTCATATCACATACATATACATACAGTGCACTCATGTGTCCTTTTCGAAAAGGGGTGTGTATTCCATGCCATGCCAGTTAATTGTTATTACTATTTTTATAAGCTCATTTTTTCATCGTAGCAAATAATTCATAATCATGCATAATAATAATCGTAAAAGTAGTTAAATAAATAGTTATTATGACGTGAGTTTTTTTCATGCAAAATAAAATTTCATTTATACTAAATTGCGGAAAATTCACGTTAAGCGTAGTCGCTTGAGCGTTTAGGGTCGCACGTGCTTTTGAACACGTGGCTGTTTTGAGAAAATTAAATAAAATTCAATATTCCAGTGAGCTAGCTTAGAAAGCTTACATTTGTAGAGAGTGCTTTTTGTGAAAGAAAGTGAGATAGTAAGTTTTTGCTTTCGAGGCTTCGGATTTTATTAAGCAAACGAGCTCTTCGTTTTCCATGGAAGCTTATACGTCTCTAATTTTATTTTTTTCATTTATGAGAATATCGTTTACGAGGGCTTTTCTATACTATCACTATCACTGCGAAGCTTTTAAGCAGAAAAGCTCGTGAGAATACTATTACATTAAATGCACGCAGGTTGGCTCGTCGTCAGCTTCAAAATACGCGAAAGCTTTAGTATGTGAAAGCTCTAGACTAAAAGCTGTCAGTTCTCTTCTGCTTTTTAACTATATAGAATTCACTTTTTTTCTATTATTCATTACTGTAAGTGTGCGGGTTTTTTATTTCATTTTCATTTCGTCTCTATGCTTATCAAGCTTACAAAAAACTTGTTTGTATAATATTTACTATCCGCTCTAAAGCTTAAATAAACATATAAATCTCAATATTCATAATAACTACTTTTCATTACTATTCTTCTGGTTTTCTGTAAATCTCGATATTTATCATTATGGCTTCCAATAAACAATATGTTTATCTGAAAAGCTTTTTACTGCTTTTAACTTTTCTTTATTGCGTTTGTAAATACATATTTCGTAACGTTTTTTTTTTTGTGATAAATAATTATCTATTGCTATAATAAATCTTTGGAGTATCTAAAAGTAAAAAAAAAATGGTGTAAAGCTCGTATTTCTCTTTTAAAAAGCAATGTTTGTAATTGACTTTTCCTTATAGCCCGTTTCCACCAAAAGCTTTGCTGCTGTTAAGAGCTCAGATAAGAATTTTAATTTAAGCGATTACGAGCGGTTACCCCTTCCTTTTTCCAATAGGCATAAACTGCAGTCAAGGCTTGGTGAAAATGAACTACATAAGTGTAAATTGCTTAAAATTTTTATTTTTAAAAGTTTAAAATAAATTAGTGGATTCCCTTTAATATTAACAATTCGAATTTTGGAAAATATAATAGACAAAATTAAGGAGAGCAATAGGAATAATAATAAACTGAATTTTAAATTGCTTTTTTTAACAACAGGAAATACGAGTTTTCACGGTACAAAACTTATTTTTTAGCATGGAAATTTTTTACTTAAAATTTTTTAGTTGAAGAATATTGTGTTTAATAAAAATACTTCCCAGATTTTTATAATTTTATTTGCCTACTCTTACTTTTTTATTTTTTTTTTCAATTTACTATAATTCAAATTATTAATTTTAATTTATTTTGCTTCAACTTTTTAAGTCTTAGGCCGTTAACTTATCTATTTTAAAGTGTAGTTAAATCAGTAATTCATCCTAACTTCAGAAAATTCTATAAAGATGGCTAAGTTAGCGGCCCTTAATATCATAAATTTATTGATGTTTAAAAATGTCCTTTTGTTATTGTTCTTGTTGACTTCCTGAAAATGTATATAAGCATTCTAACATTTCTAACAGTATGACTCATTATGAAATCACTTGGATTAACTAACCTAATAATTTTTTTATTAAATAAAAATTTATTTAAAAATTATAAACAAAATTTGGCAAATTTTTATTTTTTAATAATGTTTAATGAAACAATTATTTTTGTTACTGTATCTTCCTCTAAAACAAACATAACTTAAACAAATTTTTCGATTAAAAAAATTTATAAATCAGATTTTTTATAAAATGTTAAAACAATTTTACTCACATCGTATCTTTCTGGCCTCATTGTATCCCCCAAATATATGGGTTTAATTTATAATCCAACATTGGTTGTTTGTGAAACACCACAAAAATGCAACATTGGCCGCGTTTTTAATATAAATAAAAATTTATCTCCGAAAACCAATTCCAAAATTTTCCTTAGCTTCAGCGCACTGATTAGAAATCACACGTTTTTAATGGTTCTCGCGCACTTTATCGCAAATTTCTTTTCAAGAATTTTGAAAAACTCATTAGAAAATTCAATTCATCCAAAATTTGTATAGCAAACTTATTACACTGGGTTCTAATAGGCCACAAAAAATGTTTTAAGTTGCAGTCATTTTATTAACAATAATTTTGCAATTTTTTTTCAAATCTATTTGGTGCTACACTTTGTGTATGTATATTTTGCAACGCTTTTCCCTGGCAATTTTCGTTGGCTGCCACAAATTGTACGTTTGCGATTTAAAATTTGAAATTTCGCTAATGAATTTCTCACTTTGTTATTTCTGTGCTTGCTGATTTTTTTATACAAAATCGTAGTTATATTCTACTGTTTTTTTTACACTTTCAGCGACGTAAAGTAAATCTTTGAATTTCTTTCTTCTTATATTCGAAAAAGCACTTTGGATTTCTAATAATCTCAGCAGTAAACAATGTTGCAATATTTTTAATTTTACACCGTTAAGTTGCTTATTTTTATACTTTTGGCAATGCGCGCTGCTTTGTTTGGTTTACACTTTTCCAATTGAATTTTTTTTAATTTTTTCGCCCAAGCACTTTTTTCAGAATTTATCGCGTTTTTGATTTGTATTTTGCTTTTGCAACTTTAATCGCTGTAATTATTTAAACACACAAAAAACGTTTTACTTTTGTTGTTATTTGCTGCTGCTTCTACTTCTCGCTTACTTTTTATCTCTAATACATAATCGTTATAAATTTTCATTTAAATATGTAAATTAAATTTTATTTACTTGATACTCTCTTCTGTGTGAGTGTGAATTTTTTTGTTCAGAAGCGTTTCCAACGTTCTTAACCCGACGACAGTTGCCACAGAACTGAAACGTACGCTTACCAAATACAAACTAAATGCTAAATGTCTTGTTCAGTGGTGAATGAATCCGATACGATACGGAATCGTACTGAAATCGAATGCTGGCTGAAGAAAGAGGAGGAGGCTTCAGAGCACACCGTCGACGTTGCTGTCTTGACTTGACTGCATGCCTGCCTGCCTGCCTGACTGCTGCTGTTGGTATTGTGATGGCACTGGTGGTACTAGCGCTGGCGCTGCTGCTGGCTCTGCTGAAATCGTATCGCCTGTAATGTTATATGGGCAGACGACCAAAACGGCTTCAACGACAGCACGACGACGAACCTTAGCATCACCACCACCACCAGCACCGCCATCACAATCACCACCTAACGGCGCAAACGACGACCGGTGTGCGGGCAAGCCAAGCAGTGAGCCAGCTAGCCAAGCGCTTACGAACGTACTTTACGAGTACGAATTGGTCATTCTACGGAGCGCACACATAAACCAAACAACAATGAACGATACGAATGTTAGCCTCCATGAACTACGGCGACTGGCTATTATGAGACGAGACGGCTAACTCGAGTACCCCCTAAAGTATTGGCGATGAGATTGAGTGGATGTGCTCGCAGTCGAGCTCAGCACAGCAAAACTGAACCGAACTTAGCTGAATTTAAATGAAATGCAGTCCATGGTGGTGGAGCTAAAGGATCTCGGTGTAGCGGGGGCCGCTGCGCGATGCAGTTGCGGGTGCTGGTAGTCGGCGCCCGACGCTCAATGCTCCAAGTGTCATAGTATTGCGTTAAATACGCTTTTGTTGTTGATTGTTTTTAGTCGATGATACACCTGGCCGGCCGTTCGCTGCACTGGACAAGCGCACATTGTCGCGCCCTTACTTTTGGTTGTGTGCTGCTGCTGCTCTGCTTGCGAATGCTTTTTGTCGAGTTGTTCGGGAGGCTCGACAAAAGCACGCCATCATAATCGCTTTGAACAATTCTGTTGTTTGCTATTGCAATGCAATGTTGCGATTGGGTGGTGAAATGTGCACTTGAATGCACCGATTTTCTAATCTTTGAAGTAGCTTGAGAACTCGGCAAAGGTGGGAATATTTTGCCGATGATCTCGGGTATGACGTGTTAATTTTTGGCTCCTCAGTAATTTTGCTTTCATTGTGTAGGTGTATAGTAGGTTATACATAGACCTCGTATACGGAAGCGATCTAAGCTTAGAATTGCTACAACACACTATGAATCGAGTATTCAATTTATTTTGCATTCTATTTTCTTTATCGTGCACGTATATATATATACTTACAGACAGCCCTGCTGGCCCCACAAAATAAATTCTCATCTAGTACATGTCTGCTTTAATGTCCTATACGCTCTTGGTGTTAAGAATACAGTTCTATTAGGATTCGTACCGAGGCATGATGGCAGCGAGAAAGCTGACTGCCAAGCGAAACAACCTCCGGAACCTTGTTGTAGGCTCAACAAAGCACACATAAAAGCGATCACAAACAACTGGACAGATAAAATATTCAAAAGGCAGTGGATGGAATGTCCAGGCCAGAGATACGCCAAACAATTTACCTCTCCTTCAAAAAACCTTCAAAGAAAGTACTTAATTTAGGCAAAGAAGACCTCAAAACTCTCGCACTCGGTACTACAGGGGATGCCCTTGGAAGTGCTAGGCTACATAAGAAGCCTTGCCATATACAGCGGAGGGCAACGCACAATTAAAGTATGTACTCAGGTTACATACCTCCGACGAAGAAGTAGTCGGATTTCAGCGAGTTCTAAAGAACAACTGGTACGATTGGGAGTGCCAAGAAACTGGAGAGAAAAAGGATGTCGTGTATAGGGCCATGCTGCGAACGAGCGCAACGCGAGCTATGTGGAGCGTGAGTGCGAAAAGCTTTAAATGTTGGCCGATAGGAAAAACGCCTGCTGGAGCTGACGGCCTGCCAGCCGAGCTCTTCAAGTGCGGTGGCGTGGAGCTGATAAGGTAAACTCATCAACTCTTATGCAGAATATGGTCACATGAACACATGTGCGATGATTGGAATTTAAGTGAACTCTACCCAATCTCCAAGAAAGGCGATCCCGCCATTCGCTCCAACTACCGGTTACAAGGTCTTATCGAGCGTATTGTATGAAGGACTGAAGCCCACCGTCACTGTACTGGCTGAGCCTTATCAGTGTTGCTTTAGACCTGGAAAATCAAGCATAGACCAGGTATTCATGATACACCAGATCTTGGAGAAGACCCGCCAGGAAACGATCGACACTCACCATGTATTTTTCGACTTCAAAGCCGATTTCGACAGCACTTTAAGGTGTTGTCTGTATGCCGCGATATCTGAATTTGGCATCACCGCGAAACGAATGCGGCTGTGAAAAGTGACGTTGACCAATATCACCAGCTCCGCCAGAATTGGGAAAGACCTCTTCGAGCCGTGTGCTACCAAACAGAGTTCCAAAGTGAGCGACCCTCTGGCATGTGATTTCTTTAATCGGATGTTGGAAAAGATAATAAGAGCTGCAGAACTGAACCGCTCAGGAACAATTTGCTACGAGGTGGTGCAATTGCTGTCTGTTCTACCTTTTCCAAGTCGAATAAGGAAGCAAAGCGAAGTGGTCTGGTGTTAAACGAGGACAAGATGAATTTCTTGCCATTAAACGAACATTCAGCGCGTTCGCGACTTCGCACCCACGTCACTGTTAACAGAAGCATGGACAAGGACAACTTCTGACGAGGCGGCTCTCGGAATTTCGAGAGAACGATTTTGCTGAAGATTTACGGGCCTTTACGCATTGTCGATGGCGAGTACCGCAGGCCATGGAACGATGAGCTGTATGTGCCTTAAAACGACATAGACATAGTGCAGTGAATCAAAATACAGCGGCTCCGCTGGCTTTCCCAAGCCGTTCGAATGGACACCGACGCTCCAGATCTGAAAGTATTCAACGCTGGCGGTAACAGCTGAAGAGGGAGGCGCCACGGTGGGGGCGCCCCTTAGTTTTGTTCTACACACAAAGCCATCTACGAAAATTTCAAAATTGTAAACACTTTTTGGAATTGCTATCAGTTTTAATTTTCAAATTTTCGTTTTTGTCTTTATTTTGTACGTAGTAAGTAATCTATCGACTTTTGTACAAAGCGGAATTTCGAAAGAAAATTAGTTTGGGACCTTTATATAATAAGATGACGATGTGTAGCTCCAGCAATTTCGCAAAGCTTTGTCTGGTATATTCTGTAGTACTTTTCTAAACTACATTGCTACTCAAACTGTGTGAAACTGAATCAGTGCGTAAATGCTTCTGGTGAAAGATTTAAGCAACAAACTTGCTTGTAAATCCTGTTGATTACACTGGTAAAGGAGAAATTTACTCTTTAAATTTTCATAAATTTTCCAAAAAAAAATTGTGGAAAATGCGTTTTAATTCTTAACTTGAAAATTCGACCACAGTATGTTCTTTCAACACTTGACTTGGTCATATTTATCAAAACTAGCGCTGAGAAAAGTTTAGGTTAATATGAACAAACTCGAACCTTAAATACGAATTTGGCAAATAAATTAATTCCAGACACGTCCTGTGAGCGCGTGTATTTTTAATATTCCACCTTCGGTAGCTAACGTACCTAGGTATTTTCAGAAAATGCATATTTCTACTCCAGCGCCACCCATGGTATCTACTTTCTTATGGGACTTAAAAAAAGGAGGAGGCTATCAATTCGTCGGAATATTTTTTCGGTACCCTTTAGTTTTGTAAAATGTTTATACTAATGAATTTACCCAGGTAGCAAATTTAAGAGCATATCGGGGTGTAAATACCAAATTCCCAAATAGCTCGAGGCGCCATCTACAACCATAGCTTTTGTCCATCCTAATGAGCCCATAATTTCAAAACAAAAATTTTACTATCAATCGATCAAGCCGCTAAGGAGGAAAAGATTAAAGAAAAAATTCGAACTCTGGGGCAATTTTAGCGGAATTAACACAAAACAACGCGTGCAAAGGCACCACAGTGACACCAAAATTGCACCGCCATCTCATCCACTTCAAGGCAATATTTTTCAACACCCGAATTAACTCATTTATAGCACTAATCAAAAAAGACCTTTTACCAAAATCACGAACATTCTATTCTAAAATTTATTGAAATTGTCTACTTATCTCAATGAATGATTCATAGTACGAATAAAGAACTTAAAAACCACTGTTATCATAAATGAGTCTGTGTGGTGAAGAAAAATATATCTATAAAAAAGACCAAGTATGGGGCGGCAATAAAAATCTTTCCAACAACTTTCGGGGAACTTCCATTTGAACTTTGTTGCTCGCAGAGATGTCTAGACTCCACAACACGTTAGCAACAAACAAACAAGTTAGTAATTATCTACTTTGTTACTTGTTTCAAAATACCAAATGTACATTAGAGTGGTTCAAAAAAAATGTTTCCCCAAATAGGGTTTGGAGCACCCTCCAAAATTTTTCCTCTTGCCGAATGAGGTGCTGGTACCAAACCCTACGTTTCTAAGTATCCATTTAGAGGATGCTCATGATGCTCATATTTCACTCTAGAAGTATTGTGCACATACATTAATCAAACAATTGGTTAAGTAACCTAAGAACATTTCAAATTTAAATTATCTATTAAAATATCACAAGCTTCAGTTGTCATGGCAACGGTAGCTTTTTATAAAAATCACCAATACTTTTGGCAGTTTCACAGCGATCCAATAGCGCATTTCAAGGTCATTGAGCAATCTGTATTGGTTGTAGTAGAAAACAAAAGGAAAAAACTAAGAGGGCGCCCCGTTTTCTAGGATGCAATTTTTTCCCCCAGACAAAAATTGGGACCACTCTAATGTACATACTACAGTCATATCAGATGTTCGATATACTAGAAGACTATGTAGCCTTATCGACAATTCCATGTGAATAAATTGTTTGCATAATTTATAAGGCAAAGCAAAAAAAAGGAAAACATTGATTTTGTTTTACTTTAAAATTTTTGGGAATTTTTGTTCACAGGGAATTCGCAGTAAGGCTGATTGGTTTCTTTTTTTTGCCATTGAAAAATAATGCATGCATAGCAGACTATAGCTCATAGTAGAGCGCTTATCGGAAATGCAAAAGCTTTGACAAAAGCCTATACGTCCTTCGTCGATTATACGACGCTTAAGGTATTACCATTTTCAATGTACGTACATAA